TAAATATACTGTATATAATTTAGTGTCACAGTTGGAGATTGTTTCACCTTTATTTTCTGGATTTAAAAGTGGTCCAGTTACCTTTGAGTATATATATTTTTACTAAAAGCTTGCTTCTGTACCATCTCAGTTCCCGTGGTGAGAGAAATGTTTCCTCCGTTAGATCTCACAATTCCTGCGGAGAGTGTTTTCTCGAGTGTTCTGTGTAGCATGTGCTGAAACACAAGTGTCTCGCTGAAAGTCTTGTGGTAGAAGGACTTTAGAGTTGTGGACACCAATGTGTCATTGAAATAAAGTCAAGTAGCTCCCCAGGTTTGTCTCACAGATGCACAACATCAACGTATTTAAAGAAAGTTATCTTATATGATTAAAAGGTGATTCTGTGTACCAAATTCAACAAATCGTTGAATTAATTATTGAAAAAAGCCCAGCAGTCAATCAGTCCATTTATCAATTAAAGATCTAGCACCTTAATGAGTTTGAGGTTACTTTTTCTTTTGGTGGTTTGGGAAGCAGCTGGATGGTGTCATCTCTCCAAACAGTCCACATTCTATCCTGAGGTGTTGTTTCAGTCCAGTATGTCAGTATATCTGTAAAGATGTGACCTGGGGTCTTCTCTACTAGAAGAGTGAGTTGCAGAGTGAGTTGCAGAGTGTCTTGATACCAAGGTCCTGCAAGAATGTCATTCTCCTTGCCCTGCTGAGAACAGCCACCATGCTTATTTTCGCCTCTTGCCTCCATGATCTCATTCTTTCACTTACTGCTTGGAGCCATACGGGAGGTTGGAGCAAAGACAAAGCTTTGCTTCGTGGGTTAGCTCCCTCTAATCTGTAAGGTCTGAGACATGGCTACACTTGCATGTCTGATTCTAATGTGCACTCCTAACACAACAGAGGAAACTTAGAAGTTAAAAGAGGCTGCTGGTGTGGTATTTAAAAAAGCCAATTCATGGCTAGAAGAGAATTTGTAGCACTACTTGATGGGACTGGATGCACGGCAGGTTAGATTGGGTTTGCCGTAAATTGAGCCATTGCAATCAGGTTCAAACTCAAACTCTTCTGTGCTGCAGGCACCTGCTGATGATTCCCAGTGGGTTTTAGCTTATGTAATCAGCAGTGGAAGTTGCACTCGTCAGAAGTTTCCATGGTGGAAGAGACTGATGTCAAGTTCCATGTGTAAGAAGTACATATTTTGTACTGCTATAAATCCGTCATAGATTACTGACATATCACAGAAAAAACCTAATCCTTCTGGTGGATTCTGTGTGAGTGATCGGTTTACTTTATCTCCAAAGAAAATTGATTTGCAGTGTAAGCACACAGGCACAAAAGAAGAACAACACACACACTGAAACAAGTTAAAGTGGAGTGGAGGATGCATCTTGTTCTCCCATCAGTTTTTAATACCACTGGACACGTTTCAAGAGACAACCAATGGGATGAGAGTCTACCTCTCCAAGGGTCGATTGGTTGTCCCATTAAAATGAGATTATGATGAAGTCAAGTTGAGTAGTTCGGTTATCTTCATTGACTGCTATCATGTGCAGTTACTAGATGTTGTGGATATCCACTAACTTAGATAAGTCATGTTAGTTTAAATTATATTTGGAAAAATTAAAGACCATCATTCCTCCTCTGACATAATCCTAGCACCACTCGCCACCCGCTGAAATTAATTATCTGGGTTAATAAGGCATCTGGATCCTACTGTTGCTGAGAATATGAATAAATCATGAGTACTTTGGGCCAAATAAGACCTCTGTAGTGACAGCAGGCCAGATGAGGTTAAACATCTCCGGAGTTACTGTAGCTAGTGAGTCCCCTGTCCTCTGCAAACAGATTGTAGGGGAAGTCTGGGAGTGTTGAGTGGGATGGGAGGAAAGATAAAAGTGCATGGAGGAAGAAATGTGGGACAATAGCGCTTTTGTCTCCACTGCCCTGTACCCTCCAAATAACCTCCTACCAGTTAGTATTTACCTCCTGCTGATGAATATAATGCAACATTAATAATCTCTAATATGCAAAGGCAATCATAAGACTGTGATACATTGAGCTGCACGGCCATTAATGGTCTCCACTAACTGGAGGCAGACATCTCATATAAGAAGATATAATTTCACTCCTGCTGGTGGCCACGGGCTGAATGTTGTTCTTTCAATTTCACACAGTAGAGATGAAAATATCAGGCATGTAAAGTTAATATAGGTTTGATATTTGGAGGTCAGATGTTAGGACCGTCTCACGGCAGAAGACAGGCAATGCTCCTCATTGATCCTGCCAATGCTCAGATAATTAAAACTCTAAATGTGGATTGAATAAATCAAATATTCTGTCAGTATTTTACCTCAGTGGCTTGGCATTAACTGTCCAGTGCACTGCCATTATATTTTGAAAATCATAGATCACTGCTCACAGTTTTTTTGTTTCTTTTACCAATCCACAATCAAGATTTTGTCCTGAACTGAATTTCAAATACAAACAGTTTATTTGCAGAACATTGCTTTTGCCCCTCCTGCTATTTCTAGTTGTATGAATCATGGCCCATAATAAATGGGGGGACAGAACTCTGAAACCCTACCCCAACTGAAATGATTGTGGTTGAGAGTTAAGATCACAACCCAGAGAGAAGTCCATCCGTGTCACCCAAGGCCTTTTTCATGAAAAATAGAAAACATCTTTTGTCTCTGTTTCATGGTTTCCCCCCTGGAACTCTGCTTGTAGACTCATTAAAGTGTCCCTCATGGGCAAAACACACTCCGCTCCAAAAAATCAATACACACGCCTTTATGTTTTATTTTCCTCTGCACAGGAGTATGTGTTTTGATGGAGTGTCTCTCTCCATTATGAAAGAAAATGATGAGGAGTATCATATTACACTCCCACGGCAGGTATAGCTTTTTATTTCCCTGAAGAACACCTATGTTCTGTAAAAACACTGATCAAGAATTTACAGTCGAGGTGTAAAGGGGCTTGTATATGTGGCAGCTGCTGTCACCTGCGTTACATTGATTTCACTTTAAGTGCTTTAGCAGGCTTCCAGGATTACCTGTCTAATCAGCACCATTCCGTTAATTTAGGGATTATTTGTTTAGAGTTGTTTTCAATAAGGGTATTCTGCAAAGTTCAATTCTAGGTCCTTATGATGACTCTTCTCAGCTAGCTGTGGAAAACCAAGGGGGGGTTTTGAACTAGAGGTAATCGTAAACTTTAATTCTTCCAATGCACACAGATTCAATATTGAGAGAGTTACAGAACACATATACGTTGGTGTTAGGATAATTCACATTCAAATATCATGCAAACTTGGTCTTTTTATACTATTTTTTCTGTATCTCAAAAATGAGTTTCTTATTTGAACAAATCTAGAGCTGTCTTTCCAATGCTTAGTAGAAAAATACGTTTTGAATCCCATTTTTCTCTACTTATGGATTATGGTGATGTGATTTTGAGCACTGTTAAACCCTTGGACGCTAGTTATCATTTTGCGCTTCGATCCTTACCAGTGATCTTCATAGCACTTATTATTGCAACCTGTATGAAAACATTGGGAAGTATTTTCTCTCTGACGGACGTGATTGGAAAGTTGACATTTTATAGTACTTCTGTGACTGGCACTCAAACTCAGCCTGGATTTCACAACTATTTCACCAAGTCTGTAGCTGGAACTTTTTTAACAACATTTTCTAAGTCAAGCAAAGAAATCTGTTTCAATTGTTTAACTTTTGCATCTGTATCAAGTATTTCTTTAATTAACTGCATTTACATACATGTTTCAATGGACACATATTGACATTGTATCTTGTGTCATTTTATGTCTTATTTCTTTAGTCATTTACACTTAGACCCAGCATCATTCAGAAACCGGATGGAAATTTTGACCGTACTTTTTGTTATTTGACTGGTTGTTGGAGGCATATAAGAGATAAGATGTAATTCTAGTTTGGTTTTTCTCCCCTTGCTGTTCTCTTTTCTCTCGAAGGATGAGCAGAGGAGTGGTGTGAGCAGAGAAACAGAATTCAGAGGTGTAGTGTCAGAAATGTAGAGGAGAAAGATGGAAGAGGTGGACAGGGAGAGAAATAATGATGGAAAATGATAAAGAGAGGTAGAAGGAGGTAAGAAGTCTGCAGGATTCAGAGAGAGAGAGAGAGAGAGAGACAGAGCAAAAGAAAAAGAAAGAGACAGACCCTGAGAGAATGCATGGAAAGACAAGAACAAATTTGGGGGGAGGGTATATAATCCCGGGAAGGATTTGGCTGGTTCTTGGCTCTCGGTGGGGAGAACCACGATGTAATCCGCTGCTCAGCATGAATACTTGGGCAGTGTTTCGAAAACCAAATTCCCCCTAGTGGCTGAAAACCACAGGGGGTAGGCTGGTATGATGGTGTGTCTCTCTCAGCGTGTCGTTTTGTGTGTGCTTGAGTTTGTGTCCTGGCAGTTTACAGGCTTATTCTGGCGCCACATTGGACGCTTAATAGTGGCTTATGAGGACGTGTGAGTGCTCACCAGTGTGTCGATTTGTATGAATATGATGTGTTATAATACACCTGAGAAGCCATCCATGTCAGCCATCGGTGGCTAATGTTGCTAAAGCAATTGTCAATTTAGAGTTAGGTAATAACCATTATCAAAGCTATTGCATAAAAAACTCAACTATAACCCACTCAATGAGTGCTTTGACAAGAATATACACAAAAAGGTGGCTCAAGGATCAAACAAGGACCAAACAATGCTCATGGCAATGATTTATTTAATTGCATATTATGCATAAATCTTTCTCCTCTCCGTAGGATACAGTGGCTCTTGTTGTAAGCCTTAGGCGCACTTAAGAGATGTGAAGATAGGCTTTGATAATGCTAACGCATATTTCCTTTTCACACATATAACAAAAAATACTGTTCTTTTCTGAGATATTTGAATGGTTTATACAGAGACACTGTTCTTGAAGTGTCACACAACCGTCTTCATTTGTTACTGTAGAGTTTCTTTGATGGCTGGGACTGCACAAAGAAGAAGGACAAAACCAAAGGGAGGCACGACACTTTGCTGGGATGTAAGTCATCGGAATCCATTTCATCCTGTGTAAAAGGAAATATTGTTCAAACTGTATTTCTCAACATTGCTTTGATCGTGTACTTTTTGTTCTGTCTCAGATGACCGCCACAGAGTCAAGCTCCACCCTCTCCTGGGAGACCCCAACTCAGATTACATCAACGCAAACTACATTGATGTAAGTGTAATCTAGTTTTTTTTCTGCCTATGTTTGACAAGGGGAAACAAATTGTCAGCCTCTGTTGAGACTCTATCTCTCATACCCTTCAAAGCCACAGTCCATCTCTCTCATTCCCGTAAGTCCACCAGTCTGCTGGCACACTTTCACCTGGAAGCTCTCATCCAATCAAACACCCTCCTTTGCTGTGTTTTGCCAGATGCCATGGTCTGTCAATTGAGTCCCTGACCCGACACCAACTCTGCTATCACCTTTATTAAAGCAGAGTTGAATAAATGTATTAAACGGAGAGGAAATGAACCTTTCTGTAAGATGCCGCAAATCCCCCTAAATTAAAAAGACAATGATTGCTATTATTCAATCTCTCGATGGGCCGGGAGGAGATGATCCTTTCCACCGTTCACCTTAACTGTCTGCTACACATGCAGCGCCACAGTAACATTCTCACTGATCATATGAAATACATGTATATGTTGCTAATGTGTCTCACACGGTCTCATTCATGCGTGCTTTCATTCATAAAAAAAAAAATGGGGCTGTGTTTATTCAGAGAGCAGAAGAAGCAGAGGTTATAAACCAAAAGAAATCAGATTCTGAAAAAAGAAAAGATATTTTTACTACCAGATATACTGTAGATGGAAACTTTTATTTAGGTTCCCCTGTGAATTTGTTGTCATATTCCTCAGTTGTCGCTCGTCATTTGAGTAATGTCAAAGGAAGTCTGGCACTCTAATACAATTTCTTCGTCTCACAAGATTTATTTTACACGCCTCTCATTGGGACTACCATAAAGTAAATATGGTGCTGTGTGAGAAGTTGAGGCAGACTGATGTACTCCCACTGCTGTTTGAGGTTGAAATATCATGTCTCAGTCAAAATCCATATAAAGATTCATACTTGAAAAATAACTGATATTATTATTTTCAGTGAGAGAAAATTACTTGGTTGACTAGATTTTTGGTTGGATTCCTCCTTTAGGCCAAATTCTATCATGAAAATGCTTGATACCATGGCTTTTCTCACTGTTATTTCTCTGTTGAGAATGGCTAGTAGTGAGATGCTTTTAGAGATTTCATTACAGTTAGAGGACATTAAAAACCCAGCCTGTTGTTAGGTCTGTAGTTATTGTGAGGGTCTCCATTAGCATTAAGGGCACAGGGGTGCGGGCGTTAGTAGGAAAACACCACTTAACAGCCACCACAGGGTTGTGTCGGTGGTGTTATGCTCTAACAAACTGACCCAGCATGCTAAAAAGTAACTACTTAGCCACAGCGGAAAATATTTTGGACAGCCTGCCATTATTTCATCAGAGGTTAAATGGAAAAGTTTCCTCTGAAACATTGTTTCGGTTTCAAAACCAGAGGGGAAAAAGTGCAAGCTTTCCTTCTCTGGCTCTTAATGTCGGACTCTTTGCTCGGCTGTGGGGCACGATTTTGAATGTTTGACAGCCCAGTGCACCACTGGCTGTAAAGAGCAACAAGGTGCTATTGGCAGGTGTCACGCATTCAAAAAAAAAACATACAAATTTCGTCACACACGTCTATGCTTTAATTCAGCTTTGTTTGCTGTAAATGTAAATGTACATGTAAATTATATTATTACATTATTACATTATTCTACAAGGCACTGAAAACATTGAGTCAAGTCTTAGTAATAGGGCATGAACTCCTTGTTCTTTTCATATGACATATTTCAGCCTATAGTTCTTTATCCTTGCTTTTCCAAGTGGGATATATAAAGCAGTAATTTCACATATGTCTCTGTGCCACTGCAGCTACTCATTACAATAGCCCTCTGGGTCCTAAAGGCTCTAATGCCTCTTTGTATTCCCACTTCAAGTTTTCTTGATGATATTCTCACTGTTACTCAACATAGAACATGTGACTCCCCCAGAGAATGTATCTACTTCGGTTGCTGTTATGGCCGCTAGTTCTAATTACTTTAACTTTGTTTTGAAGTCAGTTTGGCTCAGCAGATCAGCGCTAAACACTACAATACCCATGAGCCATGGTTGCTGTTGCCATGGAGAAGAAGAAGCCAGTCACGGGTGAATTCAATGGAAATTTCAAAATATTTTAGTCATTGATCATGAGAACAAAACATGTTGTTGCAGCTGTGGAGTTAATCCAAAATTGACCCAGTATTCAAAGATTAATGTAAATAATTTGCTGAAGTATTTAGTAGCTTATGCCCCCCATAAGTGGCTCACTCAATGGTACGCTACCTAGTTAGTTAATTTTTTTACTGATGAGTCAGATGATGGTCTTGTGATCAAAGCTGCAGAGGTGCCCCAACTCTGAATAGTATTGTCTATGTGAAAGATATGAGTCTAAGTACACAACTAGGGATGCCTGTATTAGCTCCTCCCACGTCACTTTAGCAGCATTTTAAACAAAACTGAAAATTGTGGGATTGTTTTGTTCTTGTTGTGTGGCCCAAATATCAAATATGATCAAACTGCACCCCCACAGTGTTGATGAATGCAAGAGTTTCACTGTTTTTCTTTTCCATCCTTTATAAAACCCCATAACAAAACTGACATATAATGAAGTTAAACTAAAAGTTACTTTCATTTTTGAAAAAGCAGTGAAGACATTAGAGGAAATGAAAACACAATGATTTTTCCTTTTTGAGTTACCGTAATAAAAAAGCCCACTTGCAGACATACAGACCTCTTACCACCTCTCTGTAACCATCACTCCTCTTTACAAAACGCTTCTCTCATTAACTAGCCTATATGTCTTCTTTTTCCCATTACCTCGACCTTGGACCCTGTAGATTCGGATTAACAGGGAAGTAAGTACTTCACTGCTCGTTCTTCAGCCTGCCATCTCTCTGTCTTTGCTCTTTCCCTCCTTTCTTCCCTTTTCACTTCCCTCTCCTCTTCCCACTTTCCTCTATCCACAAATGCTCCAAGGTCAGTGTGTCTCAGGTTTTGTCCACATTTTCCCCAAAAAATTAAATAAAGAAAAAACAGATCCTGATCCATGGACCCTGCTGTTTTTTTAGTTCCCAAAAGTGGCCAAGATGGAGGTTTAGTTACTCTGCTGTTCATCTTTAATAGAAGAGAGGTATTATTTATGCTGATAGTGTTTGACCAGGGCCAGAGGAATTGTGGATAGTAGGCCTCACAGCACTGGTCATCCATTTCCATTTCAAACTTGTCCCCTGTTTATCCGACTGGATGCAATTCAGTTATGCGTTCCATCAGCAACTTGGACAGACACAGCATATGAGGAAGACGCCTTCTTCTAAATGATATTAACTGTTCTCAGTATGGATCATCCCATCATGCTGATGTGATGAGAGCCGATGGTCTTGGGAGTTAGTTCAGATCATTCCTGACCTGCCTTCTCCGCCTCACAGACTCGTGTAAGGTAATCGGACAATCAATTATCCTTCCAGCAGCTCCTCTTAAAAATGACAACAAAGTGAAACACAGCATCCAGGAAGTTTTCCAGGAGAAGTTTTCATAGACTCTAGGAAACAGGTCTCCTGTGTACACACTCAAAGTCAGATATAAGCTGTAGTTGTTTTCAGGAGGACTTTCTTTAAACAGTTTGCTCGGCATTAAAATGCTCCAAATCTCTCAGGTGGTCACGTTAATTCCCTCATGGCAGTCGAGGTGACATCTCATTGTTCATTCATATTCACCCCCATACACTCACCATATGAATATGTCATCTATATCAAAGGCTGCCGCTCCCTTTGATATGAAGCATCTCAGACTGTACACAAAATGTTTGCCCTAGAAGACGGTTTATGTTGGTGGTGATATGAATTTAGGTGAAAGCTGTGTAACATATTCTTCTACTTGGTAAGAGGAAAAAAAAAAAATGTCTTCAGTTTTTTTAATTCATCAAATCATATATAGTGAATGCATTTTCAGTGAGAGTCTGTTTTATGGGACAGAACCACAGGCGGTATATAAAGATGGATGACATGACGGCTCCCCCAAAGTGAAGCCAAATAATCTTGATCATGATAAATCTTGCCCCCTCAGTGTTAGCGGATGGTACATGGACCAGACTGAAATGTCAAAGGACATAATATACATACATATACATAATACATTTTTCTCAAATACGTTTTTCATCACTTTTGCTTGTTCTTATCACACTGATTGATGTTTAAGGGCAAATGTTTCTGGTTGGATTGGTTTTGTTGTTGTTTGATGCTACAACAACAAGGTCAAGTGTCATGATTCGCACCTAAAGACTGACTTTTGATTGGTCCAGCATGTGTATCGACTGGCACTGGAAACCGTGTTTCCATCTGCGCTCACCACTGTGCAGATTCTGGCTCCAAATGTGCAAGATGGTGGCTTTTGTGGTTATTTTCGCTTCATTTCTGGATAGTGGGAGCAGGTGGACATGTGTCGTCCATCTTTATTTAGTCTCTGGTCAGGACTCTGAACAAGGGTTTGATAAATGAATCTAAAACCTGAAATTGAAGAGCGTGCACCTTTAGTTTCTTTGTCATATCTTTATTAGAGTGTCACAGGGATTCAGGCATTGTTCTGTCAGCCGGCCAGACTTACTTTAGAAATCACTTTCTCCGAGATTCATCAGCACTTTTTCAAGATGCAGTATTTACTATGTGTGGCCTCAACTGCTCCAAACTCTGAGGAGCAGAGGGCAAAGATATGGTCGGTTGCCAGCAATAGGTCAGGCAGTGCAGGAACTACACAGGAAAACACGTTTCACAGTTGCTGAGTGTGGGTCAGGAAGAGAGCAGAATGCAGAAAAGATGAAGGAGAAAAAAGAAAAAAGGGTGAGACTGAGAGACACCCTCCCATACAGCTGTGCCTGAGGCGTAGACGGCTTACTCAGCATGTCATCCCTCTTCTCTCTTTCAGGGCTACCATCGATCCAACCACTTCATCGCCACTCAGGGTGAGTATCCCAGCAAGACTATTGTGTGTGTGTGTGTGTGTGTGTGTGTGTGTGTGTGTGTGTGTGTGTGGGTGGGGGGGGGGATTCAGGATGGTGAGCACCTTGTAATAAATTGAAGATGATCCAGCCAATGAGCCTACTCATGCACAGTCCCTTGCCAAAACCATCTTTCTGGCAAATCAAAAGGAGGCCACCCGTGAAGGCTGTGTCTGTGATGTAACTGAATTATTCATAAGAACAGGTGATTAATTACGCACATTAGTCAAAGTCACTTGATTTCTGTGACATGTATGGTGGCGTGTTCTTTGTCGAACGGAGAACCTGAATTTCAACCTGTACTGCTGAAATGCAGATATGGACAGTTGAACTCTGTGTGTGTGTTAAATTTTCCCATATTTTGTTATTCTGATTCGGATCTGCACTAAAATTTGATTTGCTCTTTCTGCCTCCATACCACATCTGTCCCCCTAGTTTTGTTGTCATCCATCCATTGGTTTTTTTGCGTACTCCTGCAAAATGTGGACAAAAACATAACCTCCTCGGCTGAGGTTTTGAACGCAGAGCATGGACAGATGGCCCCCTTTCCATATGTGGTAGTGACCATAATGAGTTTAATGAGTGTCAGTTTCTCTCCCATCACAAAGTCACTTAAATTCTACTGCTCTTCCCCTTGTCACAGAAACGGAGAGCAGCAGATATAACTTATCGTCAGCAGTGCTTTGTATTTTTAAGCATTTGTTTCCTATGTGATCCTCTTTTTTGAGTTGGATCTCGCTCCGTGAATGTGTCCCCCTTAACATGACGACGGATTTTCCTTGAGGCTTTCATCATAAGCCGCTCCCGTTCAGCCTATCTGCCTTCAATTCCCAATAACTCCATTGACAGCGGAATCTCAAGAGATCAGTACCTTGCTGACGGAGAAAGGACACTTAGGTCGCAATAATACAAGATTTCACAGCGACAAGAATTCCTGTATTTAGAAGCTTTGATGCTGCCGTTTGCCCTTCACTCCTATTTCCTCTGTCTTCCCAACAGGACCCAAGCAGGAGACTCTGTATGATTTTTGGAGGATGGTGTGGCAGGAGAACTGTTTCAGCATCGTCATGATCACTAAGCTGGTGGAGGTTGGCAGGGTATGTGATGCACAGTCCCTGTCCTCCTGTCATCACCAAGTGCTCAGACACGTGGCACATTTGCCATAAGGGAACATTTTGGTGTCAATGTGAAAGATTTATTTTTTTTGTTTGATAAGATCTCACAGGACCCTCAGTTTCCAGCCTTTATGCTAAACTAAGAACTTGGTAGTGGTATATGTCTTCTCACCCGATGAGAAATAGTATCCCTTTAGACATCTTGAGACATCCATGATGTATGATAGGAATCCACATTATGATAGTTTGATTATAGAGTCCATAAAATTAGCTATAAAATACTTGTGACGCATATAAAAATATAAACTGAGCCACATATCTAGGGCAGCTGTCCATATATACACTGCATGATTACACATGATACCTGTAGCGTGTGAAATCTGCTGTAAGTATTCCATCCTCTTTTCACTGTAGGAAATTACCTTAGTGGATGGTTAAAATGACACCATTTTTCCAGCAGTAAGCCTCTTTCCAATTTGGTTTTCCACCCCAACAATTCAGGGAACAGTCAACAAATAAGGACAGGTCTGTGTGGTTGAATCCAAATAACACCTCTATTAAATAAAATAAATAAAAAATTACTTCCTTTGTGTCTGATGCTAGTGAAAAAAAAAAGATGCCTCCTGTTCATTATGCTTCCCACCATGTGTGATTATTGTGCTTTTCTTTTCTTTGCCCTCTGAGATGAAATATCTGCAGAGGAACAGGTTGTTTTTGTTCTTCTGCAGCATTTGAGGTGAAACTAAATTCAACACCAATATTTCTTTGTTCTAGTTCTAACTTACTAACTTGCTCTAACTTACAAATGTAGGACTTAATATTTCTTATGATCACTTAATAACAAATCATAATGACATGTTTTCTCTTTTTAATTTATCTCTTACTGTCAAATGAATTGTTTAAATTTATCTTGTTGATGTTATTACAATATCTAGTCTTGCATTCCGTCTGACTGTAATGCATCAATTTCAATTATAAAGGAAAACACACACACATCCAAAATTCGCAAACGACAATAATGACACTTTTCACACCTTTTCACATCTGTAGTTTGGTTAATTTTAAGGAAAATAAATGATATGTTGTTGCTGAAAGTTGAAAATAATCCTGAAATAATCACCCCACCAGCACTGTTCAGTAGCAAGGGGTGACTTGTCGTGTTGTGGAAGTGCTTCATCTGGTCTCCTCCTTTAAATATACAGACATGTATTCTCAAAAAAAGGGAGGCATATAGAGAAATTGTTTCCTTTTAGAAATAATTTCCTTGTTTCCTCTTAATTGGCCACTTAAAGCCTAAGAGGATTAAAATGAGCAACTGCTGTTATAGACCACTCAAAACTACTATTATATTATAAAAGTTGGAATAAAAGTTTAAGGATTGATCTGTTATGGTCAGGATGGATAGAGGACAGAGGAGATTTGAATATGCTGCATTTTGACAAAACTGTTGATACATTTCTTGACATTAAATCTTCCCTTCACCCTTCAAACAGACACATTCATGTTGCTCCTTTTACATTATTTGCAGATGAAAGTTGCAGTAGTGATAAAGCAAGGTTGAACTCCTTTGCTTCTCTTTTTTTCAAACAGGTGAAATGCTGTAAATATTGGCCGGATGACAGTGAGATGTACGGGGACATTAAAATCACTCTGTTGAAGACAGAGACACTGGCTGAATACACAGTCCGTACATTTGCCTTGGAGAGGGTGAGTTGACATTAACATTTACATCACTACCTTGGTTTACCTACCCTCTTTTGCATTTGTTGATACACATTATAATATTCTTAATTTCACTGCCAGGGCAGAAAGTAATATGCTCGTGGTTTCTTTCTGTAATCTATTCACGAACATAATTTTTCCATCTTTCCACGGTTACCCTGTGAAGTAAGAATTAAAATTAGAACTAATAGAAGAGATTAGATACCTGACAGAGCTCAGTGCTGATAGGCATGAGGTCAACACGTCCACATTTAGAGGAATTAACATCAGCAGCTATCTGAATGCCCCTGCCGTCTTCCCAACATAGTTGTAAGAGTGCTGTGCCCCCGGTGGCCTCCATCCTGTCAATCTCCCCGGGGATCTCTCTGTGGAAGGGCTCGAAGATCAGCACTGGAGTGACAGTGGCACAAACACAGCATTATCATCCCACTGTCACAGCCACTCTCCACGGGCACATGCTGCCGCTTATTCAAATCGGCACAAATTTTGGAGCTGGTGACAGCTTGTTTTTCATAGCTCTTTTCCCCATTTTTGTGTCTGTCTTCTGCAAACCTTTGCTTTGCATTGCTTTACTTTGTCAACTCTGTACAGAGGAAGAAATTGCTGTGTGACGGCAGCAGCCTCCCAGTGGAGAGGAGAAACCTCCCAGCCCTCCCTGAGCCTCAGTAATTCCTTTCTGCGTGTGTCTCTCACATTGCAGCTGCTACTAAGATGTGATGCCCAGAGGCTTTACTCTCCTAGAAGACCTAACACCCCACATAAATAATGTCCTGGTTGTCATCACACTGAACTGAAAAACTTTCCACATCTCTCATTGTGGAGGAATGCCTCTGAATGGATGGCAGCACGTCTTGGATGAAACAACAGCCTGCAGGCTACGATGGTTGGGATGCAAGCCACATAAATGTAGTGTTTTACATGTAATGCTAATGTGTGTACTGGGTTCTGTTTTGACAGAGAGGATACTCAACCAAGCATGAGGTGCGTCAGTTCCACTTCACATCCTGGCCTGAGCACGGGGTGCCCTATCACGCCACTGGACTGTTGGCCTTTATACGAAGAGTGAAAGCCTCCACGCCTCCTGATGCTGGCCCGGTGGTGGTCCACTGCAGGTAACACAATATAGCAACTGCTGCACATATGAAAATCATTATTACAGGTTATTATATTTATCAATCATATTCTCTTATAAGTGATTTATTATCACCATGACCTGAAGTGGCAGATGGAGGCGGTTGTGAGCAGCTGTTTGCATCTTCAAGGCCTTTTCAGATAGAAAGAGGGTTTGAGCAGCACTGGCCAGGTTCAGCAAGGGTCCAGGAGTGATCATCACAGTGAATGTGGGAGAGCTCGCCGAGCAGCACAAGCCCATGAAATAAATGTTTCCAGTCTGAGAGTACAGCTATGTACTGTCACATTCTACCTGGAAGGGCTACTTCTCCTATAACATGCACAACAACTTCTTCACAATCCCTTTTGCTTATTTTTTCTACAAATAAGTACCTTATTTTTATCCTTGGGTTCATTTTTTTAATGAATAGACAGAGGATAGAAGAGAATCAATTGACCTTGATGCTAATAAAGTAAAAATCCTTCATGCTAACCCCCCCCTTTATTTAATCAGATTTAGGAAAAAAGGAAATGCTCACTTTAGTCAAACAAAGCTTTCAGAATCTTCTGTTGTTGTAGGCCTAAAGCTTCCATTAGCCAAAACATGTATTGATTTATTAACCAATACAATTATAAGTGATTTTGATTATTTCAACCTAACTAGTGCAAGCTTAACTAAGTTAACATGCAATAACAGTGCTAATAACATGTGCTCTGAGCAGACATAGATTACTCTCAAAACACTGATTGTTATTGACTCCTCATGGACGATGTTTTTGTTTTGTTTTGTTTTGTTATTCTAGTGTGGGGGCGGGCCGCACCGGCTGCTACATCGTGCTGGACGTCATGTTGGACATGGCCGAGTGTGAAGGCGTGGTGGACATCTACAACTGTGTCAAAACCCTCTGCTCTCGACGCATCAACATGATCCAGACAGAGGTGAGGTCAACCGCAAAGTCATGAAACCGCAGTACGTTCGAACTGAGTCTAAAGTCTCAGATTTTCAACTAGGACTGTATATTCAGGACTCAACATTTCACATCAGTGGACATATTGTGGTCACCTCTCTCCTGCTCTGGAGGAATGGTCAGCTTTTTTAAACATTTGATTTTCCCTCCTGTTGTTTGGAAAGTCAAAGAGTGAGAACGGGGGGGTGCTGTCATACTCCCCCTGTGGGACTTATGTAAAGGTCATTGCAATAGTTTGAGAGAAAAGACTCACATTGTTTGTCGCTGTGCTGCGTGGGCACGATGCTGTTCTTTAGATGTGGAGATAATTTACATATTCACCCCTTATTATGTAAATCCAACATTGACTTAGCTGTTTATTACATTTGTAATTATTTGCAGGGGTGCTCTAATTAAATGCACACCGCTTGTGTTTGTTTACTCGGAAATATTTATTTATTCTCCCGCAGCTTTGATACACTACCAACATTATAGCACATGTTTAATTCAGAACAAGGCAGGTTATGAAAAATCTCTTATTCATGTGGTTTAATTATTTATTTACATCTACACATGTTCATAAGCTGCCTCCTTTGTTACGTCTGGTATGTGTGTTTGCACCAAGATAACATACCCTCATCCATTACCCTGAAACCCGCTGGATTACACATGCATGCGCACACACGTGCACACACACAGCACTTAATCATGTTACCTGTTGTCCCTCCAGGAGCAGTATATCTTCATCCACGATGCCATCCTGGAGGCGTGCCTGTGCGGAGAGACGGCCATCCTGGTGAATGAGTTTGCCGTCACTTACAAAGAGATGCTGCGGGTGGATTCCCAGAGTAATTCCTCTCAGCTACGGGAAGAGTTCCAGGTCAGTCCTGCGCTGAGTGGACAGTAGATCAGTGGCACCTCAATCAATTTCTAAAGCACAGATTCATTTTGTTGAAACGTCCAACCATTAACGTATGAAGCATGCACTGATATTCTTAATTACACAACCCACGCACAGCAGTCACACTTATAGTATAATTTACATTATATCATCAATAACATTTCTTCAATTACCCTAATGGAACCTACCAACACTTCAGCTACTACAGTAAAATTGTACTGTAATACTACTGCTAATGCTACTGTGGTATTACCGATAGTAGTGACTAAACTTCAAAGAAATGAAACCCCTAAAAACACACTACTACTACTCCTACATTTAATTAATCTACCATCAATTATAACAATAGTTATACTCATTATTGTGTTTATCTATCTACTAATTCTAGAGATCTGTCTCTCTAACTCAACTTATCGACTCCACATTTGGAGCGAATTGGACATGCGATACATTCAGTATTAATAAACTTTGAATAAACAGCCGACCAGCGCTCTGTAGCTGGGACTCATCAATGTGAGTGACGTTCTTGATCACGACAACAGCACGTTCACAACAGCAGCACGGTCTGTGGACTGACTCCAGGAGCTGGTCAATGATTGCAGGTCACTTTTATAGTTTCAGAAAGAAAGCTGCAACCAATATAACCATAAAAATATCTTCCTTTTGTCCATGTAGAACACTACTACTACAACTAAATTGACTATTTCTACCAGTGATTCTTTTAATGTGTTGCCTTGCATATAGAGGTGAAAGTTGATAAAGTCAAATCCAGAGACAACCATACTGTTGATTTATTGTATACAGTTTGGGGATTATTTTATTATACATTGTATCTGTACTATATTGCATGTGTATTGCATATATTCTGTTGTGTGTGTATACTGTAGTTGTTCAGTTAATCCACAACGGTCTGTTTGGTATTCAGACAGCTGCATAAACAACAGATGACGACGACATCCGCCCTGTCATTGAAATGTGTCTTTTTATAGCACAGACGTTTTAAAATCCACTGAGTGCAGGAAGGAACAGACTAACGATAGCAACGCATAGGCATCGATAAACGCGTGTTCGCACATGCGTGTGTATTTGTGTAAAAGTGATGTTGGTTTCCTTTGACCTCAGATTCTTTGTGACTTGACATTGAAATCCTCTGCCTGGTTGGCAGGAATGCGGTTTCCGACCATTTTATTAGATGTTGATTAGGAGAGAAGAGAGCCAGCTGTGTTCTCACATGCTTTACCTGCCTCATCCCTCCGCTGCAGCTCTCAGCCAGCAGCTGCATTGATTTCAGGTTTAACATTTCAAAGTAACAGTGGAAAAGGCTCACGCTAGACAGTTCATTTTATACAGTTTTAGTCTAATACACGACTTATAGTTGATTTATTTCCGTGGATTAGGGGATGGTACAGTAGGGGGTGACACACTGATTACAATCTGCGGTTTTTTTTTTTATAAAAGGAAAATTACATCGGTCTCTTTGATCATGCAAACATATCCGTCTGACATTGTTGTTGAAAGCCTGTCCACCGCCCAGTGAGCTCTGTGTTCCCCTTCTCCTCTGACAGCACTCAGCCAACTGGTACTACTGAGATCAGCAAGTCACAGATCTATTATTGATGAGGTGTATTAATGATCCAAATAGTCTTTTTCAAGTTGTCTCATTTAATTACAGCTAAACGAACACACAGTTCATCAAAGAGAATTGTTATGCAATATTTCCTTTTGAGTTTTTTAGTCATGTAGTTGTCAGAATTTATCCTTTTTAATTTTATATCAGTTTATCAACCTTATGTTTAGATTATTAGCGATTCTCTCAGTTGACACTATTGGACTCTTGGAATTCTCTGCGTCCCAGTCGTCTTTGCTTCTGTTTGATACTTCTCTTTTTCTTCCTCCTCCTCTTCCTCCCTGACATCTATGATTCCTCTGCCATGTCCCACCTCTCCTCACGCATCTCATCTTTTAAACGTCTCTTCAATTATGTGTCATTTTCCCCTCATCTCTACAACTTTTCTATTTGCAGACACTCAACTCTGTGACTCCTCACTTGGATGTGGAGGAGTGCAGCATTGCCCTGTTGCCCAGAAACCGGGAGAAGAACCGCAGCATGGATGTTTTGCCACCGGATCGCGCCCTGGCCTTCCTGGTCACGACAGAGGGGGAGAGCAACAATTACATCAACGCTGCTCTCGCTGACAGCTTCCATCGGCAGGCTGCTTTCATCGTGACTCCGCACCCTCTGCCGGGTACCACGGCGGACTTCTGGAGGCTGGTCTTTGATTATGGTTGCACGGCGGTAGTCATGCTCAACCAACTCAACCAGTCCAACTCTGCTTGGGTAAGATCAAGGTGTTAAAATACTGTTTTCTTGCCACTGATTTGCTGACCCTATAACGAAAAAGAGACTTCACAAAGTGTTTGAGTTCACTTGCACAGGAGACACTTTTTGTTGTACAAGTTTTTACTTTCAGCCTGGAGGTTATCTGAACTTCACTTTATACTTTTCCCAACAAACCCTCACCTCACTGTTTCTGTATCTGTTCTCGGGATTAGTTCCTTCATGCCATTTTGTTGGGCTTTGATCCCTGACCACATTGATCTTAAGGCATGACTAGATAACACCCGCCCCAGATTTTTCTTCCCCTCCTCCAGTTCCATCTCTGGAGAAAAGGATTGCACTCCCCTCCAGCCACATCTCAGGGTTCTATGTTGGCGTCCCATTTTCTCTCATGAGCATATGTCTTTCTCTGTACTGCAATATTCCCTGTTTTTTCTTTTACTCTCAACACTACAGTAATGAGTGGATACATAACACAAGATTCATGCAGAAGATTAGAAAACCTAATGAAACACTGAAAAGTAATTAAAAGAATGTCATAGTGCTTCAAGCCTCCACATGCTTGAGCCTCTATAGGAAGCAAATCCACATGGTAACAGCAAATCCTGACCTGATAAATGAACACAGCCAGATAATCAAGTGCAATGCTGAAGAAGGCTGGGAAAGTCAATAGACCTTTAAGTCTGCTTCAAAATGTATAGGCATGGAGAGGTAATCATAACTTACAATTTTTGATTAAGACAGAAGAATTTGTTTGAACAATCATCAAGCATGGATGAAATTAAAGTGTGAAAAATAGTCAGTAAAGGAAAGAAATGATTCAGTTCTCCAGATATTTCTCAGATTGGATAAATAGGACATAGCAAGCCTTCAGTAGTAATATGAAAATCCAGACCGTAGTACTGTAATTGTATTTTCATGCTTTTGTGCAGTGACAGATGTGGCGAGAAGCATTGTTTCCAAATTATCCCAAAATCGTTCCATCTGCCCTGTTCTCGTGAGCCCAATATCTCAGGAACTACTGGAGGAACTTTCTCTAGATATGGCACAAAAATTAACCTGTATCAAGTGTGAACTGAATATATTTTAATGGTTAAAGGTCAAGGTCACTATGACCTCACAAAACTATTTCTTTTATATTATTTGGCCATAAGTCAAGAATAATAAGAGAATACACAGATTGTAAAACAATTTACACCATAAACATTGAACATTAATTATTAAATAGTTAATAGGAGATGTTCAGCATGTGCTATTAAAGAGCCAAAAGCTTTACAATTGACTGCAGAGTTTTTTTGCCAATAATAATATCTAGATGTGTTTGGCTGACATCTAGCCCTTAATGGGAGATAAATAGTTGTGCTGTAATGACAGAATGATTCAACAGGGTGGATATCATTAGTATAGTAATGAAAAGAAATAGGAATCATTGTGCTGTTAAATAAGATAACCTTAGCAAAGAGGTAAAGAAAATATAAGGACCCAAAATGGATCTTTCAACAGAGAAAATGTTTTTATATATAATATGTGAATATCCATTATGTCAGATGCTATTTTTAGTTAAAGAAGACTCACATAGCATTAGGTTACATCAGCCTTCATCAATCAAGTCATTTAACATGGACAATTTGAGGAACTTGTATTATCTGTTCTATTAAACCTGTATGATTAATAAATGTGCGTATTACTGGTGAATCACAGAATTCAAATGTAAAGAGCCAATGGCATTCAGGAAACACTTTAGGATTAAATGCAACATTTGCGAGCTTTGCAGATAAATATTATTATTATCTATGTTTATATTATATATATAAACATAGCGCATGTATTACTTTATATCAGAGCCTAGAAAACAAAGTTTAAGCTCTAAATCATGAATCTTTTTTTCTACTTTTGTCAAAGGTCTGCCTTAGGTTGTTGTCTGTGTTGCTTGAACAATGCTAATCTGATGTAGATATCATTTTGTACCAACTATAAATAATAGCAGTGGCACTTATTGTTCTTAATGAGCCGTTATCTTGTCTGTAGCATTTTCTGTAAAGATGACATTTCTAACAAAGAAGATAAAGTTTAAGGAAATCACCCAAACAGAGTGTTGTTTGCCATGTGTGACGACCATCTTAAAGTTGAGGAAATGGTGATCATCTATAGTGATCTTGCAGTTTACAAGATTTCAACTCTTAACAGAAATGAAATCTCTGGCACTCAGACCTTATGAATTATTGTTTTTTGTTTTTATAATAACTTAGCATTAGAATTATGAATAGATGAGCACTGATGATGGTTTTCATAGTAATTACTTGCTACCTAACACTCATGGTAAGAGTATCCTCACTCCCAAAAAAGATATTCATCAAAATCAATAACCACTCTGACCTTTAAGAGCCTTGTGAGTCAGTGTTGCTTTAAATGATCTTAATCTAGAATCTTGGGTATGATGTGCTCACTAAATGTGGTAGATTAGTGATTGCGTATTGGTTTTTTCTATCCTTTTTGTATCAGAATCTTTGCAGTCTGATTAAAAAAAACTAAATCAAATCAAAACAAACAAAAGAAATATCATAGGTACCTCTGTTCAATCCCACTTTTCATCCACCTCATTTAAGTGTTTTTCATCTCGTTCCGTCCATTGGAGTTCAGTCGCCTGAAAAATTGAGTTATCGCCACTTTAAATTGTTCATTGTTATAGATCTTGTTATCAACTCTGTTATAGAGTTTTTTCTTGGCACAGGAGTCATCTGCCCCTTTTTGCATTGTTCCACAACATATTATATTTCTCCTATTTATGACCAGTGTTGCATCATAAAGTCTACATATGCATGTGCTTATAGCACTCGGACAAACGTGTGTATCTGTTGGTCTTTCTAAATATATTATTTTCCTTTTTATCAACACTTCATGTATAAAGACCCCCCACTACGTAGACACACACACACACACACACACACTTACTTGCTTAATCTTTTTGTCATTTGATCTCCTTAAAGCTCTCTAATCTTTGATGATCCAAAGTTTTAAGAGCAAAGGGAATTTTCTTGGCCATAACTACTGAAGAATGCAGTAGTTCAAGTTCTGTACGTGCCGTATTTCCTCAACAATTACCATCTCTCCTCTACCTGCAGCCGTGTGTTCAGTACTGGCCGGAGCCTGGTCTACAGCAGTACGGACCCATGGAAGTGGAGTTTCTGTCCATGTCAGCCGACGAGGATGTCATCACTCGTCTGTTTCGGGTCAAGAATGTCACTAGGGTGAGTCATCAGGTGCCAAAAAAGGCTCCTCGGGACATGTTCCACTCAGTGGTATTTCACAAATGATAACTTGAACCTCATTAGAAATGCATTAGCTATGGTCCTCATTGGTAATTCAGATGGGACCTTTACCCTACAGTGCATTCAGAGTTGCCAACTGTAATGTCCATCTAAAAAGGTAACACTAATCCTCAAAGTCAAAGAACTATACAGACTTGGCTGTAAAAAAAAAAAAATCTATTTACCTGAAACCTTCAACTGATGATTTGTATTTTGTTTAAAACGTCTTACATGTGCACAAACTCAAAGGCTGAGTGCTTCACTTAATCCTGTATGTGTGCCTGTGCATCATTATCATCATTATCTGTGTATATTGTTTTATATGCATACACTTCTCTAGTGTTTGCCTCATGACACACAGTATACACAAATAAATGCACTCTTAAATAAATACACTGAAAGGCAGGCTGGAGATTTATACCGAACACAATGGCAGATCTGTAAAAAGAAAAGATATTGATAGACTGTATAATGCATTCTTCAAAGAATATATTTTGATAGTCAGCAGTCCAGAACATTGAACCAGAGCCACCATTGTTTCCATAAGACGTTCCTGAAAGAGCGATACAAATTATCAGAGCTCTCTTTCTATGAAAAACATGCATGAGAAACCCATTGACGTGCATGCAATAAAGGTCAGTCTCGCTCTTTTTCAATTTCTTTTTGTCATTACCTAGATAGGCGTCTTCCTTCTCTTAGCATACTAAAGAGGGAGTTTTCATCATGATGCATGTCATATTGTCCATTGCAGGACACTCTTTTCATAAAGCATGTCACACTTTAAAAGAGCAGAGAATTAGACAGAACTCATTAAATTGGCTAAAAAAAGACTGTTCTGTCATGGTAGAGGGAGCAGAGGGGGCGTCAGGCTGGTCTGTCCTCAACTATATATATATATATCTACAGTGTATGTAATATAGTCTCCAAGTACTGTAGACGTCATTTTGACTTCACACACATCACACAATGTGTTGATTGTGCGTGTGTGTGTGCGTGTGTGCATGTGTGCAGGTATAGTTTTAAGCCTGGGCATTTGCATAAGCACATGCATGTATTCTGCTCAGGATCACTGTCAACCAATTATTGAGGAAATCTGTATGCAAAGCATTTATTGCAGCGCTGCCATTTAAAGCAATGCGACAGGCAGTGCCCAGAACTTCCTGTCTTGATTGGCATCCTCACTTCCTCCCAAACACCCTTGTCATTCCCCCTATCTGCATAAGGCACCTTTTCTTCTACTTGTTGCACACCAGTGTCACGGAGAGGGCAACTTAATACAGCATGGGAGGTATCGAATCACACAAATAAAACACACCTCTTGTTGTCTGTGCCCTGCTCTAGGCGCATCAGCCTTTTTACTTTTTTTTTTTTTGCTATGCGTGACAATGATATACAAGGGTAGGGAGTAAAAGTCAAAGGAAGTGCATTGTAAGCATATGTATGTGGGGCGGGGAATGTAGTACCAAAAAAAGTACTTGTGTAAATCCCACTCCCGCTGAGGCACAATTTCTTCATACATCGTTGGTGTCTCTGCCAGCTCAATTTGCATGACTTATAGTTCTCAACTGAACCTTAAGTATTAGATGAGAATCTACAGGACAAGGTTATGAACACACAGGGACCTCTCACTCGCACCTCAGGCCCCACTTACACCTGAAGACCCATATATCTCAGAGTCTGTGTGCTGAGTGAGCACGACTGAGTGCCAGTGTGTAGCCTGGGGAGCACTGAAACACAGGTGTTAATGGGCACACACAGAAATGCTGCAGCAACTAGTCAGTATGAACTAACACGTGAGAGCATGAAAGCAGGCGTAGTGCAGCGGATCAGATTCCATGTGTTTTATGTTTTCATTCTGAAGCTCCAAGAGGGTCAGCTGGTGGTGTGTCAGTTCCAGTTCCTGCGCTGGTCGGCGTACCGCGATGTCCCCGACTCCAAGAAGGCTTTCCTCAACCTGCTGGCTCAAGTGCACAAGTGGCAAAGAGAGTGCGGAGAAGGACGCACAGCTGTCCACTGCCTGTGAGTAACCTCTCAGCAACATGTATAGGAAACAGAAAGCAGGAATAAATCTCTCTCAATCGCAGTCTCTTTCTGAAAAGGTCTAAGTGAAATAATGCACCTGAAGACTGACATTTAAAATCATCCCAAACAGAAAGCGTATTCACAAAGGGCAGCATCACTAAAATGTCTGTAAGAACAGGACAAATCATGAGCACATCTGTTCCACCATGACACGTACTGTACAGATTGTGTTGTGTGTTCTCTCTGCGGCTTTTTGCGCTATTTGGGAAAGTATTTTTCCATGACAGAACTTAATGTAGAAAATCAAATTGTGGTGTTATGCGCCGTGCTGTGGTATAGTACAGCGTGTGGTGTTCTGTTGCTCCTCTGTTGTCCTAAGCCCCCGGAGCGCACACCCCCTGATGAATATGAATGGGCCGTCCAGCTCATTGCCGACCCGTCACACGTTCATCCCCACCGCCCCCCGTCCAAAAGCACATCAGTCAGCGCTGTCACACAGAGTTACCCACGACAACCAAGAAAGAGATTATGGAGATCAAATCAATTATGGCTTAATACAGAACGCGATGGTTCTCACTACAGTAAATCCAGCACTGCCACAGCGCTGACGACGATTGATTACCGTAATATTGCCTGTGTACGCTGCAGAGGCTTCCATGCCCACCTTTGCTGCGTTTGTCTCAGGAGAGAGGATGTGGATCGTCCTCCAGTAGTTTATTGATATTGCCTTTCATTTGTGATGACCAGGACAATATTTCCGAGGAAATGTCACTGTGCTGTTATTTCTCAATTTTCTCTTCCTCACAGCTTTTCCTCATGTGACTATTTTTGAAGATGCTGTGTACAAAATCAGGCTTATCAGATTACTCATATTCTGCCCTGCTTGTACTTTATTACAGCTATCAAGGACCTATTTAAATTGCCATGGGTTTTGTGAAGCTCTTTGTAACCTTGTTTAGTCAAGTGCTATACAAATAAAGTTATTACTTGTATCAGTTAAAACAGATTAGAAGCCCCTTTCAACCCAGGGAGGGAGATGTATTTGTATAGTATTGCACATACTGCACAAATATGGAACATGCTCTGCTGAGCATGCAACATAATGAGATTTCAGCCAATCAAAATTAAATCTGGGTTGATTCATATTGACAGTCAAGGTCTAAACTTAAACAGCATTTAATGGAAGGGCTAATGGTATGGCTGTAGACTATGAGGATTATGAATGTATAATGTAACTGTTCGCTTTGAAATAGCCTTTGTCTTAAATGTGCTATATTAAAAAGATATAGATTGCTTGTCTGTATTTAAAATAGATAATAATAGCACCATGCTAAATTGCTCACCCTGAAAGTGCTTACATGCTTATTTAGAGTGTAGTATACACAATTTAAATGTTGCATTTTGACATTTGCAGCTGAAGAAATGGTTCAGAAATTATGAAAGTTTTTAGTTATAAACCAAAGTTTTGCTTGAGTTACCTATTGATGGCTCTAGATAAAAATGTTTATCATGAATTATCACAATCCATCCAGTGGTTTTATGCCATTTCATCTGAATTCTGAAATATCATCATCATCATGGCAGCAGAGGATCATCAAGAGAAGATGATCACCAAAGTAAGCAGGATTTTATGGCAATCTTGTTATTAATGTAATAATATACAGCATCGCTTTACCTAAAGCAATGCATGTAGTGTGGCAGGAGGTCATCAATAAATCAAAGGACTATATTTGCCTGTATTTAAATATCCTAAAACAACCCTATAGCTCAGATGGTTTTGAACCTAGAAAAAATTTAACAAACTTGAGGGAGTCATCTCGGAAATTTAAGTGTGTTCAGGGCCCTATGTATGTATAATTAATTACATAGTTGAATCAAAGACACTGCACCAATACATCAATAGATTTTAATTATAGGGCACTCATTCTATATGCACCTCTGTTTCATTGTTTATTTAATAAATTTGTGAAGGAAGGGAAGGTCAGGTTGCCTCTTTTATTCATATTTATTTTAATAATTAATATCATAACAATGATTATTTTCCTTTGTTTTAGTAGGAATTTTCTGTGGGACCGGGGGGTAAAATATGAATAATGAACCCTTAATGTTCATGGTTTGTCATTATTCCTGCTGAATACATTTAAAATAAAATATTGAAAGATACATCTGTTTGAGATGTTTTCTAAAATGACACATCTCCTCCTCTGCAGTAACGGCGGCGGCCGCAGTGGGACCTTCTGTGCCTGCAACATCCTCCTCGAGATGATCCAATACCAGAACATGGTGGACATCTTCTACGCTGTCAAAACTCTACGCAACTGCAAACCTAACATGGTGGAGTCTCTGGTAAGAGTTTCTAAGTGGCAAAAATATATTTCTGTAATTATTCTCTTGTGTTCAGTTCAATTGTGAATAAAAAATTTAATTCTCCCTCAGGATCAGTATCGATTCTGCTACGACCTTGTCCTGGAGTACTTGGACTGCTTTGAGGGGAGATAGCAACAAAATGTTTCTAACAGCGGCGGTCAAGATTCAATTTGAGGCCACCCAGTGACCCTCCTCTACTTTCATGTTCGGACCTGTGGACGTTGAAGGAACTGCAGAGAAAGGAGAGGGGGGGAAGAAACGATCAAAGTTCTAAGTTTTAACCTTTAATGTACAGCTGTGATTTCCTCCTTGATGGTGATGTTTATCTCTTTTGATATATTTTGTGCTTTTTCTTGGTCCTCTTTGGCTCTCAGACTAAAGCTCCTTTTGTGAGAAGGGATTCCGTAGCAGTGAAACAATGTTCGGAGCTACTAAACGGACCTGTCTGTTCTGAAGAGGGGTCACCTGGGCTGTGTTGTCATTATTTCATTTGTACAGCGAGAGCGGGCTGGATGTAACACCAGAATTACAGCAGCATTAACGCGGAAGCATTTCTTCTTCTCTTTTAAGAGCTACATGCAACAGCAGTCCACTGTGGTTGTGGCATGACTTACCTACCATACCATAAACTGCCTTATTCTCTGATGATAGGACAGATTTATTCAAAATCAATGAATAAATCCAAAAAGTCACCATAATGGTGCAGAAACAGCAACGAGAGACCTACTGCATTGGGATGGACCAGCCCAGTCCTCAACAGTATTAATGCAGTAATTGTACAGTTGTGCAACGTGTTGTATTTTGCCATAATGTTTGTGCTGGATTACCATGTGTGCTATAGGTGGATGTTTCCAGGGGCCACAGCACTGGGCCCACTCCCACCGCAGGGAGATTCCGGTCTCATTGCTGTCACAGTGCCAATCCCACTGACTGACTTGAATCCTCTCTTTACTTTGTTCCCCTCCTCCCTTATGATGTACGCCTAAAAAACCCCAGTATGTACTGCATCAGCTAATGTTCTAGCTCTGCAGTGATTGTTTGAATTTATACCCAGCGGAAGAGAAAAAGGAGCAAGGTGTGATGGTGGTGTGAAACATTATATTTCATTAATGCTGTGGTTTAAAGTTTAAAGTTGAATCCAGTGTACACAGTTACAGATGTTAATTCTTTTGTTGTCTGAGGGATTTGGTTTTTCTGTTAACAGTTGAAGAAAGTTAATCCGGTTTGAATCTCATCTTAACTCTTTCAGGCAGGGGACTCATTTTCACCATTTTGACATGAACACTACTTGTTATTTGTTGCAGTGTAACATAAATGAAAATAAATATATATAGATAAATATATATATGTAAAAAAAAAGGGGGGCATTAACATTGTGTAGAAGGCAAAATATGCTATTTTTTGTTACCATTCACGATATTGGTGTTTTCTTTTTTTTTTAATCTTCAAATAAAAGTGGCATTTAAACTGTAAGAAAAGAAGAAAACGGTTGCCCATGGACCCTGTGGCTCAGCTATCATAGACTTCATGGATAAACACAATCTTTCATTTGCTGGCCAACACCTGCAGACCACTGGATCTGTTCATGTACAAATCAATTAAACATCCCCTAAAAAGACCCCCGACACAGACAGGAAGGTATTTCTCTTTAACATTTCTGTTCCAGAACCAAGTAAATATCGTCTCTGCCCTCCACCATTACCCTTTAAAATATGTTATGTCCCCACTGTATCTCCTGAAGCTCCTTTTAAGTGCAGGTTTTCATGGAGGGTGTTAAAGCGATCGCTCCGGGGCCCAACCTAATGAACAAGGAGAGACGCCCCGAAGCCCACAGGAGCTGAGAAATGGCAGCTAGTCGAGACTCTGCTGCGAGGTTGCGGCTCGCAGCCTGGTTCAGGTGGGAGCACCAGATTTATGTGAGGAATCTTAACATTGCGCCAACATGACCGGGCTCCCACAGCTTCAATGAAACGGCAGCTTGTTTGTGACGAAGATGAAGAATGAGGTAGCTACAGTGTAGTCAGTGATCTGACAAAGGAAGTGCCTGGACACTTTTTGTTGACGGTGGAAGGAATGTGTACATACAGATGTATATTATGTTATGTGAATACTATATGAATATTATACTATATGTTTGCCCAGAGTAAAGACGTACAGTAAGTAAATGCTACATAACCACCAAGCTGAATGTGCTGTAAATGACCATTTTGTGAGTTTATTGCCGAAACTTTTGACACCCGAGTACAAACCTGAGTCTCCCTGAGTGTTTAAAACAGGTCTGTGAAAGCATGTGTGAATTCATTGTCTGCTTTCTATCTTCATTTTTCGTTTAATTAAAAAAAAAAAATCCCAAATTCACATAATTTATTTCATCGTTGTGTTGTCCGCCGCTGCCACGACAACCATGTGAGTGCATTGTACATTTACCATTCCAAAGCTTTTTATGGTGACCACACTCTGGGGCGGCGGCTACGGCGACAGCCCCGAGAGTGCCGTTGATTTCACTTGTGTGTTTCTGTATGAACCAATGGTACATGACTACTGTGTTTCTGACCATTGTATTTGTGGGGGCAAGGTGTGTATTAAATGAGAGATGGAGATGACAGATGTATTTCGGGGAAGGGATTCATTCTTAGGAATAACAAAGATCAACAATAAAAGAACAAGGGGAAAAAAAAGAATGATGTGTCGTTGTCGGCTTATCGTTGGTTGTTGTGTCTAAAAAAATGCACATCCAGCTGAATGGTTCTGTGGTGGTTCGACTGGTTTGTCAGCAGAAGCAGAGAACTAACAGCTGGACGTTGACTTCCTGCGTACGTGCCTCCTGCGGTTTCTCATACGGATGTGATCTTTTTGCAGTTCCCTTCGCCTTCATCCACATCGACCATTTGATCCCCCCCCCCCTTTTTAACCTCATTTCTCTCCCTCTCTTTCCCTCCAGTCATACCTCTCACCCACTCCTCTCTGTCTTCCTCCCCCACCGTTGTCTGCACTTCCATTACTTTCATTTCTCCCTCTCATCCTCCTCCATCTCCCTCGCTTTGCTGCTCTGCCCAGAGTAAGGTGACTCCAGACCACAGACTTCCTCTCTCACCCACGGCTATGTTGAATAATGCATCAGTGCTGCAAACTGATCCAGTGTTTAGCAGAGGGACAAGCAGGATTAATTAGAGGACAAGACCCCCTGTTGTTGGGTTGAGGACCATATGGATTGTCGTTTAAATTGTTAAGAGATTGAACAAAACACCAGAAATGGTAAAGATGTGTGACTGTAGATGCAAATTTTCTTAATATGAGAGTTTTCATTTGTCAGTTTGAAGGAGCAAGAATGCATTATACATTTAATGCGAAATAGATGAGGCCCTTTTAATATCTGCAAGATTTTCCAGTTTCCCTTTTTAACCTTCAGAAAGCTATTACAACATGAAGTCCTTGGTGGCAGACTGCTCATATCTGACCCGTGGTTTATGTAATTAAGGTTAGCAACTTCCTCACGACCAGATAAGGGATAAGAGCTGCCACTGGTATGCCACCTTTTGTCCTGTACACGGTCCCACAGCAGTGTGGGTATGGTGTGTGAATATGCTGATATTCTGACTCAACTGGGGAGGCAAATAAACGTGAATATTCTCTCAGTCCATAGCTTTATTAAAGCTGTATCTATAAAAGCTTGTGAGGATTTTTACAGCAAAAAGGACAGAAACAAACAAAACAAAAACAATTCAAATGCAAATGAGGATAAGAAGCATATAACTCAACAAATCTACTTTTTTGATCAACATTTTCTTCATGCTCCCGGCCGATTCCAGCTGTCCTTTGTCCTTTTATTCAACCACAGACAATTCCTTACATGACAAGTCACAGCTCACAACAGAGACAGACTAAAATGATGCTCAAGCAACCCACAGAGTGATGAGCCCACTGGGATTCGGCCGATTGGTCCCGATGGCCAGTCCGACAATAGTTTCAACAAGTTTATTTTTAATCAACTCCATACTGCATCTGTTTCTTGAGTGATCATTAAATGGTCATCAAAGGCACATTGAGGCTAAATGAGAGAATCCTGAACATGTCCTCTTGTCTCTGGTGGATATTGTGGTATCCACTTTGGTTTTCTGTAGGTAACACAAAACTCCTCAGTGCTCGTCCATATTGACTCCGTCTCTGGCATTTAGAAGGCAGACATCTCCTCCTGGTCAGTGATGGAGCACTCCTTATGGCAGACGATTAGTTTTAGTTTCACCCTTACCTCCTCTGTTAAGACAGAGAGAGTCATAGAACTTTCTATATTTTTGTTGTTGCTTAGAAATGTATGTTGACACTTGTTTGTCCAGGTGCTGGTAACCAAAAGAGATTTCTGCAGCTTTTTGAAAGGCTGAAAAAAACCACAAAAAAACAGCCCACAGATAAATCTCGGCAGCTCCGTTTTTTTTTCTTCATCCTCAAAATTCCATATTCTGGTCATCTTTGCAGGAGACGATCGACAGTCGGATTAAGAGGGAGCATTGTGTGCAAACATGACACAGGTGGGCCTGCAGATGTTATCAACTATGTAATCGCAGGAATTAACTTTCAAAATGTGATTACTGGCACCGCTCAATGAATGGTAAACAGAAAAGTTGACATTGGCATTATCTGCTCCACAGGCTGTGATATGTCTCATCCAGGTCAAACTTACTAAGGCTTGATGAATGCCATGTGCTTTTTCATCACTGTGTCCATAGAAGTCACGTAATTTTCACAGCAGGCTGGACACAGAGGAATATCTCATTCATCCTGAAACAGTTTCTGTTTCCCTCTGTTTGAGGCATCATGTTGCAGATGCAAGAAACACAGACTCGTCTTTGTTTGGGCTCTGATCACATCAAATATCCAGCACAGTCTTTGTTTCTAAAACATTCAGTGTACTCATCCATGCTTTTGTTCTTCTCATGTGCATTTTCATTTGAGTCATGATAAAAAGCCTGGCCGAGCATTACAAGATAATCAGTGCTGTTGTAGCTGAGTCTGTCATCGACCCTCTTCTGCCGTAGATATCTCAGTACACCTATATTTCATGCACCTTTAGGTAAAGTGGCCATCTTGTGCATTTCTGTGGAAACATGTTGACTGATTTCTTCCTCACCTCCATGGCCAATTACTAATTCCTGGCAGCAGAAAGTAAAGAAGGCTTCCTGAGACTTGAGCTGAGTTGAGCTGATGGATTTAACCCACGTCTCTTTTGCTTCCCTTTGTTTGTTGCAGCTGCACAGGTTTTTCCTTTGCAGGTTTATCCTCCCACATGCACATGCCGACTGAACAACACCAGACATTCAGACATTACCTAAATTGGCTCATTTACGCGATACATACAGGCTGTGTCTGAGTTTGTAATAGTAGGTTGCAAATGTCTCGTGAAAAAAAGTGTACAGCTGATGGTCACTAACTGAGCAATATATACCATCATGCATTGTGCTCACTGCAGAGAGATCAGAGGACAGCAGGAACAGAAAATCCCAAGTTTATTTCTACTTGTTTTTTAACATGTTTACCCAGAAGAATTAATACTAAGTGTAAAATAAGCATTTAAAATGTATTGTGGGATTTTCCACCGGTTGATGTTATTGTTGTTGTTTGTCATAATACAGAAACAATTACTCATTACTGGTTCAGATAAATGTCCAAAAGCATTTTTTTCCTTCTTTTTATTGAGTATAAAGTGCTTTATATATATAGATAGATAAATATATAGATAAATGTACTTTATTGATCCAAAATTGTGAAGTGATTGTGTTACAGCGGCTTGTCAAGGGCATTGTAAGAATAGACTTAATACATGATATGACAAACTTTGAATAAGAGACAAGCATGCACAATTGCAATAGTTGTTTGCAAAGATAAAGGTACGAATATGACTAAAATAAAATATGAATATAAGATGTGCAAAAAAATTCACAGTTATTGCAGAGAGTTTTGGGGGGACAGAAACTATAGGGCTCATGAAGACCCTTTATAGTAAAGTAGGGGTTAGTGAATGAGTGGGTGATTTCGGACACAGTGATGAGGCCTCTGTGATTGCATGTGGTAATCAGCAAATGATCAGCCACTGCTGTTGTATCAAAAGTTGGATCTGTAAGAGTGCAGGCTGGTGATTAAAGAGTAGATTAGCAGTCGCTATGCAGGATGGGTGAAATCCAATATGGGACAAACCAATTTTGCCCAATATACTGGACGTCCGGGCTAACACAGGGCAGCTGGAAACGCGACAGGTAATTGGAATCTTATCATTTAATTTCGATGGTGTAATGACTGCCATGTGAGAGATAACTTATCACCAGGCCAAGATCCAACTGGGTTTTTGCTTCTCTCTCTGGGCTTCCTGTCTTATGTTCCTCTGCTGACAGGCTCGATGGATGTTGGCCTCTCCCATGGTCTCCCTGGTGAGTCCTGCGCCAGATACACTCTCATGTGGTGTTTCTGTAAAACAGGTAGTGAGGTCTGACAGCTTGCAACGTCAGCCGATAGGAAGGAGGACGGGAAATAGATTCCCAAGCTTTTTTGTCTCCTTGTGTACAAGGCAAATTTAGCTAAATGTAACCAGTGTAACCAGTGTAATAGTTATATAATTAATGTGCAGATACTTTTTTCCAATAATTTTGTATTATTATTCAAATCATCCATCCAATACTACTTTAGTTTTTATTAAAAGTTTCAATTTATTCAATGGCCTACTTTTAGCAAACTTTGTCAACCCGTTGACCGATTTTCACCATCTATTCAATATTTATAGCTATTTATTTTTATTTATAACACTTTGTATTCTTATTTTGGGTTTTAGACAACTGTTTAAAAATACTGTAATGTCTTTGATTATATATAATGATAGACAAAATGAATGCTCCCTGAAAGTGAAGCCAAAGTGTCTACAATGTACACGTCAAATAATTTGTTCTCAAAGATGGTTTCCGTTAAGTTTGGTTTTAAGTCGTTATCTGATGCTAGAATAATTAGGGTAAACGTCAGAATTGACAGCTGAAACTGACTTGTGATTGGTTGAGCACATGTATCTGTTGGACCTTGGTAGCCTGGCTCCAATCCCCTGATCACTCCACAAACTCTAAATGTGTAAGATATTTGGATTCATAACTTGGCTGTTTTGCCTTCATTCAGTGGAGATACATCGTACAGCGAGTTTACTTACTTTCATGCACTCCACATAGTAATGCACAACTCTAAAAGTGTTTTGACTCCATTAGTATGGTGGACGTTATATGGATGTTTGTAGTTATTTGGGTGGTGAGGCATAATTTTATATGTATTATAATTTAATTCTTGTTGATTTACTGCACAATCTTTCCATGTAGCCCTAGGCATCAAGCAGGCCTAACCCCTGGGGGTACAAGTAACTCGGTTTTGAATCTCTGCTTGAAAAAGTGGACTCACTTGTTGCTGAACAGCTTCTGAGACATGATACAGGCTGTAAAGCTCCTGAATGTTTCAGTGTTGGAGGAACGGGGTGTATGTTACTAAAAACTCGATGTTTCTTCTTTCATGCCAAATGCTTTGCTAATAGATGAAGATAAAATCCAATATTCTCTGGGAGAATATTGTCATAAAAGCTCTTGCGGATGACCTTGCCCAAGCCTCGGTCGATAAGTGGAAAGAGAAGATGCATATCCTTTATCA